GGTTAGTGTATTCTGAGTATCACAGATGTAGAAGACACTAACATTGAAGTTTTAGCTTTAATGACTGAGAAGGATTAGTAGGAAATGGAAGAAAGGGAAATCAAGATTTTCTGATGTGTTTAAAGGAGGAAATGTGGTCAGAATAGCCACAGAGAAGTCAAATGAGTTTGAGTACTAAAAGTAAGTACTGAAATTGGCTGTGATAGCGCCATCCGTAACATTTTTGGACTTTTATCCCTTCTTACTCTTCTCTCTTCTCAAATCTATGTTGTTGCTCTTCATATCAGGTATCTCTGTGATTTTAATTCTAGAATGCTCTTGGGTTCAGTCTTCATTTTAGTTCTGGCTTAGCTGGTCTGAAGTTAGTCATCACTCTCTCCTTCCTGACATACTCTTTCCTCTGCAATACACTGACTTTGGTTTTCCACCACACACCCCACCCATCTTTCACTGCCTGTCACTTCTATACACACTGCAATTTTTAACTACACTCATTTCTTTGCTTACATATGGGCATCCCTTTCCAATCCAGCCCATATTTCTTCTGTGAACTTCAGGGCAGTCTAGCAGTCTACTGTGCATCCTTACATGAATACCCACGAACTCTTCAAATTTAGTATGTCCAGAGCTGAACCTGAATTCTCACTTACGTTCTTTCCCATAATTCTTTCCTCTTCCTGAGTCCCATACCTACTATTATAATCCATGTCATTGCCAAACAACTGACGTGGGTGCCATCCTTGACTTCTTTCTTGCTTACCCAATTAGTTGTGATTTTATGACCCATGCTCGGGCCACCACCTGCATTCCTCACTGCATTTCCAGATTCCCCTCCTTGCTCATCACTTTTTTCTCCATTTTGATTTGTCTGCAGCCGACTGCCAGCCTGGAGCTAGTCATTACTCCCTGGTGGAATTTTTTCCCCCTCTGGCCTCATCTTGTATGTTCTTTTCTGTAGATTCAGGTCACATTGGATTTTTTTTTCTTTTTTTAAAGAGTGATTTTTAAAAAAGATTTATTTATTTACTTGAGAGGAATAGTTAAAGAGAGATGGAGAGACATAGAGAAAGGTCTTCCATCCGCTGGTTCACTCCTCAGCGGCCACAACGGCTGGAGCTGAGCCAATCCAAAGCCGGGATCCATGAGCTTCTTCTGAGTGTCCCACGTCGGTGCAGGGGCCTAAGCACATGGGCCATCTTCTGCTTTCCCAGGCCATCAGCAGGGGGCTGGATCAGAAGTGGAGCAACCGGGCACCTCTATGGAGTGCCAGCACTGCAGGTGCATACTTAACCTACTATGCCACAGCACCAGCCCCTATTTTTTTCTTAAACATGACATGTCTTTCTCTCTGTATACCTTCATACCTGCTTATGCCCCTGCCTGGAGCATTTCCATTTCCTCCTTAATATGAACTGGTCCTCCATCTTCAGAAATGAATCTGTTATGAGGACTTCCTCTGTGGCCTCCTAGCATTCTGCCTTTGCCATGTCATCACCATTTCCATATCATTTGATAATTTCTCATTTTTGCCCATTAGTCAGTGCCTCCCTCTGAATATTAAGCCCCAATAAGGCAGGAACTATGTATATTTCACACATTGTTATATTTTAAGCTTCTAGTACAGTGCTTAGAACAGTGTGAGGGTAATATCCAACCAGTGTCTGTTAAATGAACTGAATACTTTTTAAAGTATTTTCACATCCATTATCTCAGTGGGGGTAAGGTTGAACAATTTGGAGAGGGTTTTAGTGAAACATGAGCTATGGATGGATTAGAAGATTAATTTATCTGGGTTGTTTTGCACTGGTAAAAGGAAGGAGAAGTTAGAGTAAGGAAAGCTGGTTAGGAGAGTGAAAGCATTGAATTCCACCTCGTAGAACAAAAAGGAAGAGATTTTTTCAAACTAGCTTGCATTGTTTTTCATTTCATCTTCTTTCTAACAAGTGGAGGTCTGTAAGGTGTGATGTGGTTTTATTTCAGTATTTAAAGGTGTCAGATTATCCATCTTTTATGGTTTTTTCCCTCCACCTGGAAAAACTTTAGATATGATGATTTTAATATTTTTCTGTATATTTTGCTCAATGAATGTGTTTTCTTTTGGGAGACTCTTCCAGAAGTAAGTGATTCATTTAATTATAGCTTGTCTATTTCCAGAAAAAAAAATGAGATGGAATACATTTTAAAAGATTTAATTGGGTTTTTAAAGTGGGGACAAAAAAAAAAAAAGAATAATCACTAGGAGGAAATTTAGGCTAAGAAACCTTATGTAAGATAAATTGCTTTAAAACCCTATGTAAGTCAAATTGCAGTAAGGAAAAATAATTGAACTGTCTGAATGCCAAAGCAAAAGGTACTATGTAGTAAGACATGTTACTTGATGTCTTTTAGCTTCTTCTCAAATATGAACTTCCAAAAGCTGAAGGCTCATAATTCAAGATAGATTTTGTACAAAATATTTGAAGTCTAGTTTTATTTAGAGGCCAGTTCTGCCATTTGCAAAATAAATGGTTTGCTTGACACTGTTAAACAGGCTGGCATGTTTTGTTTCAGATGGTAGCTGTCCAGGTTCTGCAGAGAAGTGTATAGTGAAGAAGATTTAAAAAACAAATAAAATACATTGCATTTATCTTTTTTATTTGAAAAGCAGAGGGAGACAGCATCTTCCATCTGCTGGTTCACTCCCCGTATTTTTGGCCCACAACAGCCAGAGATGGGTTAGGCCAATGACAGGAGCCTGGTACTCAATCTAGAGCTCCCTTGCAGGTACCCAAGTACTTGCGCTATTGTCTGTTGCCTCTCAGGGAATGCATTAGCAGGAAGCTGGACTAGGAAATGTAATAAGGACTCAAGCCCAGAAACTCCAATACAGGTTGTGAGTGTTCCAAGAGGTTATTTTAACTGCTGTGCTGAATACCCATACCTGCCCAAGTTTTTAAAATGGAAGAACAAGAAATAAAAAACAAACAAACAAAAAAACCAGGGGCCGGCGCTGTGACGTGTTGAGTAAAGCCGCCTCCTGCAGTGCCAGCATCCCACATGGGCGCTGATTTGAGTCCCAGCTGTTCCACTTCCGATCCAGCTCTCTGTTATGGCCTGGGAGAGCAGTAGAAGATGGCCCAAGTTCTTGGGCCCCTGCACCCATATGGGAGACCCAGAAGAAGCTCCTGGCTCCTGGCTTCGGATCAGCACAGCTCTGGCCATTGAGGCCAACTGGGGAGTGAACCAGCGGATGGAAGGCCTCTCCCTCTCTCTCTCTCTCTTTCTCTCTCTCTCTCTCTCTGCCTTTCCTTCTCTCTCTCTGTAACTCTGTCTTTCAAATAAGTAAATAAATCTTTAAACAAAAAACAGCTATGAATCCACTTAACCACTTAAAAATATATTCCTTTGGAGCTCCTAAGTCTCCATAAAGTATGGAAGAGAGATGCTTGGTTTGGAACATCTTAAGGAGAGATGGCTTAGTCATCTGCCACTGCAATAAAAGAATATTAGTTTAGATTTAGAGAATGATTAACTCTGACCAGCCAGCGTTATGTTCTCACAGCTTTGTGAAATGAGTTAGCTCAAAAGTGCATCTGCAGTAACTAAATAAGCTAACTCATTGAGTGAAGTTGTTTTGGATTTTCTGAGTGTGATTGATTAATAGAGATCATCATGGTCGTTTTTGGTTATGAGAATCACATGACCAGTTTACATGAAGAACTTTGACATCTCACTTGTTATGGAAGGAGGCACTCAAACGTGTGGTCTGCAGGTGATGGGATTCTATTCAGGCTTAAAACGGGAGATACAGGCTGTTTCTTTTGGTTTAGAATCAAAGTCTATTACAAAAATGTTTGCCTATCTATTCTGGCTCAAAAGGCTTTGGGAGATGCACATAAGCATGATGACAGTACCAAGGGCACATGGCTTAACACATGGATGGCTTTGCGGGTGGGGTTGAGGTTGAAAGAGCATTCGTAGAACTTGAGTTTTCCATAGTTTTCTGGTTGGTAATGTCAACAGCATCACAATTAAAATAATCATTCTTCATACACGGATTAGATTGAGAGATTCCAATCCATATCTAGTAGAGGACTGGCAAAGAGCTTGCTTTGTGGGGACAGCCAGCATACTTAACATCTGGAATTTGGGGAAGGTTGAGATTATCTGGTTTATGTACTAGAAAGACAGTGAAAACAGTACCTAAGACGTGAGAGTGTTTTTATGTTCATTCTGAACACAGGATAAAAATCTCCTAACCCCACAACCACTGCCCAGCTTTTACTTTGAGTCCTTTGGAACTAGTTCTTTATTTTGTGGTTTCAATGTAATTATTTCAGTGGTTTCTCTGAGTTACCCAGATGAGTAATTTTAATGTGCTGCCTTGTTTTGGAAGTTTGGTTCGAAGAGACTGATACACAGAAAGAGCCTTTGAGCGATATTGTGTGAAATGTGGGAATTGTCCATGTAAGTGTTCTCCCTAGCTGTTCTTAGGCAAAATGAGGGATAAAATAGGAATTAAGAATTTTTCAAAGAAAAGTCTTCCCTACAACTCAGTTTTACACCCACACTGGAGCTGGTTTTTTTTTTTCTCATCTCTTTGCATGAGTCAGAATCCTTGTCATAGGTAGCTGGAAGGGCTGCAATGGAAGCAAATGGGCAAACCCCTTATCATGGCCAGGTGCTATTTGTGGAGTATGAGAGAAGCTGTTGTGGCTATGGGGACAGAGAGCATTGCTAATGATCAAGAATGCCAAGCAAAATCTAGACAACTTACTACAACCTGTTGTCTTTCACCTCCGATTCCACTTTAATTGTTTCTGATCATCTTTTCTTTCAAATCACATCTTGGAATCAGAGCCCTCCTCAATGATTTCCCAATGCAGATATCAGATAGTGTAGGATTTAAACAGAATGAACTGTGCTTTACCCTTCTGACATCCCTCTGAGTTAAAACAAGACTAATCTTGGCACCATGGTGTTGGAACTAAAAGGTAAAATTCCTTCCTGTCTTCCTGCAGAGTACAGTACAATTCACAGCCCATCAACGCCCATTAAAGATTCAGATTCTGATCGATTGCGTCGAGGTTCAGATGGGAAATCACGTGGGCGGGGCCGAAGAAACAATAATCCTTCACCTCCACCGGATTCTGATCTAGAGGTAATGTCATTGCCCACACCCAAGTGAATAACAAGGTGCTGTAGTCACCAGCTGGTGACTCTGTAGACCTGCTATGGAAGGAGCAGTGAGCAGGGTATCCAAGTGCTTCTGTCAGTCCTTTCTTGTACGACAAGAAAAGCAATTTCTCTCTTCCATGTTGACTATATGTTAAGTGATTATTATTTTTGTCCTGTATTAACCATATGACAAAGCATATGTTTTACTCTAAAGAAACAGTAAATTATATAGTTCTGCTTGAACAAAATTCTGTTGTACTGCTCTGTGTCATTGCCATTTCAATTAAATAAACGCCATACTAAAAATGCTTAATGAAATCCACTTTGAAATTAAAGACACTCTTGTGTATATTGAGAAAAGGAAGCCTGGAATGTTCTAAATTGAAATGGTAATCACCTTATGAGACATGTTTTGGTGGAGTTCAAAAGCAGAAAGGATTAAGTAAGAACTCAAAGGGTGGTAGGTTTCATAGCCTTGAATCCACTGTAATTAAGTTTCTGCTTTTTGCCAAAGTGAAATCTGATGGTGGAAAACATGATTATTTTGGCTGAAAAGATGAAATTTTTCCAGCAGAATCTGGTCTGAATATTGACTGGTGTGAGTGGGATTGGAAAGGGGAAAGCTTGGGAGGCTTTCTGTGGTGTCTTGAAGACCTTTTCTGAAATGAATTCCTTTAACTCCAATCCTGACTATCCCAAGAGTGTGTCTAAGAACAAGAATTATGTGTCTGCTTAAGTCATTAAAAATCTATAACCTGAAGACTTAAAAAACCTAGCAGGAACAATGTACAGTCTTCCCTCAGTATCCATGGAAGACAGGTTTCTGGATTCCTCAACCCCAGCCGGGGCACCCACGTCCACAGATACTCAAGTCCCTTACAAACAATGTTGTAGGATTTACATATAATCTATGAACATCTTCTTCTACACTTTAAATCAGCTCTAGATTGCTTAAATACAATGTGGATGCTATATAAATAGTTGTGACAATGCATTGACTAGCAAATAATGACAAGAAAAAAGTCTAATCATGTTCAGTACAGATCTAACTTTTTTCAAATATTTTTGATCTATGATTGGTTGGATCCACAGATGTAAAACTCCTGGATACCGAGGGTCTACTAAATATCCCATTCCTTTGATAACTGCTTAATAGGTAGCATAAGGTAAATAGATTATGTAAAACTTTAGTTTTTGAGTATAATTTTTAGTAGTTGGCTTGATGAGGATCAAACACAATATTAGTTATTTTTTAACACTTCTTAATAAACAGATAACAGAAATCAAAATCCAAAGATGAATGATTTTTTTAATATGAATGATTTTTAATAATTGCCTTTCTGTACCTCAAAAGTTATAACTCATTTTTTATTTCTTCAAAACCAAGATTAAAATTCTACAGAATTAACGACGACACATATTATTAGCTCTTTTCTATATTTATATTGACATTGATGATAGAATTATCTTATTGTACCTCAGCTGGGGTAATATCTAGAAAAAAGCTGAGCAATGCTTTTTGGAGCGGTTGTGTTTTAAAATGTTGCACATTCAGATTTAGCATCGACTTCACATTTCAAGACTACTTTTTCATGGTGAAGTTAACTGAATAACAGTTTTCTCAGCCAAGGCAAAGACACATTGATTTGGTTCTTCCTTTATAGAGAGTGTTCATCTGGGACTTGGACGAGACAATCATTGTTTTCCATTCCTTGCTCACTGGGTCCTACGCCAACAGATACGGGAGGGTGAGTACCAAGAAGCATCAGTTTTTCACTTCTTTGGAGTAAATATACCTAAAATTTAGTTCTTGTCAAAAGAAATGGAATTTAATTTTAAGTACTAAACCTAAAATATATAAAGGAAAATGACTTTGTTGATACAGTCAAATACATATGTTAGGCAAAACTCATCAATGAATAGAAAAATGATTATTTTCAGGACTTCAAAACTAAGGGACTTTATGCAGTTAAATTCAAGCTTACTTTAGACCATAATAAATAAAAGTGATTGGACCCTATCCTATGAAATATTAAAATATATAGGTGATATAGAATGGTCTTTTATGTTGAATTTATTTTATTTTTAGAATTTTTAATTTTTAATTAGTTTTTAACAGATTCAATATAGTTTCTTCATAGATACAGTTCTAAGAATATAATGATATTCCCTTCCTCTCTCCTTCCATCTTTCTCTCTCCCTCTTTTCCTCCTTCCTTCCTTTTATGTTTTCTTGAATTTTTTATTTGACCTAACCTTTTACACCCAAAACCTTGTCTTCAGTGATGAGCAGTGTTTGGCATTTTATTTCCAAAGCACCTGCTATAAATGTCTTTATGTGTCCCTTTGTTATTGAGGCTGAATCTCTTTGAATGGTACTTAATATTGAACTCTTAATGGCAACAGGGCCATCATGTCCATGTTAGAGTTGTATTTATCTTGGTGTTACAGGTAAAGACTATTACAGGCCAGCTTCCATGAGTAGAACTTCAGTTTCAATGTTCTACATTTGAGTTTCTCAAAATGTTGGCAATTGTTTTTGATATACTCCTTGGTGGTTTCATAAGTCTTCCTGCATCAAAAAATCATGGTATTTCAAATGGTGATAAGTTATTTCTGAAACTGTCCTGTGAATATGATATTTCTCATTATTTTAGTCTTTAAAGAAATGTTAGTACAAATCTCAGATCCTTGAAACTATTGGTTTGAAGCCTTTTTTAAGTCTTGGTGATACAGAGATTTATGGCAATTAAATATGAAAATTTATGGTTATAAAATGTGCATGATTTCAGTAAAAATTTGATCAGATATATTCGTTCTTTCAATAAATGTTTATTTCAATATATACGCATTATGTGCCTACTATGCACATGTTGTCTAGAGGTAAAATGGAGGGAATTGCCGCTTTGGCTTCATAGACTGGCTTTCCTTCTCATGATCCTAAAGGTACACCAAAAAAAAAAAAAAGGAAAAAGTAGAAGAAGAAAAAGAAAAAGAAAAACAAGCAAAAGCTATAGGAAAAGAAACCACACATATATGAGAACAAGACCACCATTAGAATTTCTATTCAGAGTTATGATATCTATAAAATACAATGTATCCCATATTATTGTTAGACAAATTCTCTATAAGAAAGAGACAGTTGAACACAAAGGTTATTTTTTTACAAAGGGAGAGACCATTGAATCAATGAAATGAAGTTCCTACTGTGTGGCTAGCACTTAGTAAGGATTCAATAAAGTGTTGCTATTTCTTTGATATTATTTCTTCTATCTATCCTATTACTATGCCAATACTACCTTAAAATGAATTGATCTCTCAAATATCAATGTAATGAGTGGGCAGAACCATGAAGATCTTTTGAACTGAACCATTAGGATATCCCTGCAACTAACTACTAAGGAAGAAAGCTGATGCTGGAACCTCCACAAAAGTACAGAAGTACTTTTAAAACTAGCACTTTAAAAACTAGCATTTGAAAATCATCCAGAAAGTCTCAAGCCTCTAAAAGCTCTCACTAAAGGCCAGATTGATGTGAAGAGAGCTGTTGGGATCAAAGATGCTTTGTTAGCCATTGAAAAGGGCCAGTGCTGGGATAAAGAATAATATTGAGGACTTCTGTGAGTAAGGTGGGGAACATTTCATGACCACATTTCAATCTTTGGCTATAAATTGTTGCTTTACATATAGAACTCATATTTAACCTGTAAAGCCCTGGTTTCTTACAACTTTTCATAAAAATTCTTGATAATCTCTTTCCTACAAATACTGTGAGTTTTATTTTTCACAGTTTCAAACATTAGTATTTTGAGCCTTCATCACACAATATTTTATTTGTTTGCTCCCCCCACCCAGGTCATGTGTTAAAAGCTTAATCTCATCTGATTTTTCCTAAAATCAAACTTTTATATTCTTTGAAGTATGGATTATTCAAACCCTTTAAGTATAAGCTTGCCCTTCATAAGTTGATGGAGCTGAAGGAGAACTTCAGAAAGCCTGTTGTTTGAGGAACATCATCCTGAGCATGATGTTGGGCCTGAAGTCTGGATGATGGGAAGTGATAGTGTGATGATCAGGAGAGTGTTCTAAGCAGAGGAAACAGCAAGCTCAGGTGCCAGAAGGGGTTTGGTGTTTGAGGGGTGACGGAGCCCAGTGATGGAGATGGAGTGTCAGCAGAGGTTGATCAGGGATGAGGGCAGAAGACCTCTGAGCCATAGTCATGAAGATTAATGTTGCATGTGCCAGAGGAAGTCATTAGAGGGATTCAGGGAGGAAGTGGGAGGGTCTGCTTGACATCTTTAGATTACCTTAGCTGTGTGTGAAGAGTTGGTGGTAAGGAGGGACGGCGCTGTGATGTGGAAATTTAAGGCCCTGCCTGCGGTGCCAGCATCCCATATGGGCACCGGTTCAAATCCCGGCTATTCCACTTCTGATCCAGCTCCCTGCTAATGCAACTGGAAGAGTAGCTAGGGCCCCTGCACCTACATGGGAGACCCAGAAGAAGCTCTTGTCTCCTGGCTTTGGCCTGGCCCAATGACCATTTGGGGAATGAACCAGTGATGGAAGATAGATCTCTGTCACTCTCTTTATCTCTGTAATTCTGACTTTCAAATAAATTAATTAATTAAAAAAAGAATTAATGGTAAGGGAGGAGAACTGGGGTCCAGATAGAAGATATTAGCAGTGATCTGGTACATTGGAAGTAGAGATGGTGAGAACTTATTGGATTCTGGATTGTATTTGAAGTATAGGATAGGATTTAGATATGACTTGGATCAGGGTGGTAGGCAGTAGTAGGTAATAGGAAAGAAAGATGATTAGGTTTTTGTCCTGAGCACTGAGAGAAGAGACATGTATTTGTTGAGATGGGAAAGAACTAATTTGGAGAGAAAATGGAAAGTTTGGTGTTGGAGAAGTTTGAGATATCTATTAGACATCCACCTTGACCAGGCAAGCAGGTGGTTGGGAGGTGAGCCCAGTGCTCTTGGAGAACTGGGTAGGGCTGGTGTCAGATTGAGAGTTAGCAGTGCACAGTTTAGGGTCAGAAGCTCCTCAGATACCCTTAGGTTGATTTCTTCCCATTTATTAAGCTTCTTCCTTGTGCCAGATGCTGTGGTCAGCCTGTTACCTCATTGCCAGAAGGCATCCCTTCCTGGCAGGGTAACTTTTGAAGGTGCTTGGCTGAGGACATTGAGTCATCCAAATGTAAGAAAGCTTACTTAATGTTCTCGTCATTGGAGAACTTTAGAGATGAACGGAAGTGGCTCTCACATCTTGTCAGTCAGTGGCAAGTCTTCCTCTCTACAGCAGATTCTGTTGTGCTCCTGAGCCTTGTCAGGGGAGCATGTGGCTGGCCCTTACTCTGCATGCATATAAAGGAATGAATGCCTGACAATGTGATAGCTGTTCTGTCTCTATGGGAACCAGACACTTGAGAAGTAGCTTAGTCACAGTAGCTTAGGCAACTCAATGAGTAGGCTATTCAGTAAGGGGATACAGGATCTGGTTGATATAATGCAAAATTAGGGCATGTTACAGCAATAAGTACCCAAAAAAGTTTGAGAATATCCCACCTCTCATGTAATTCTAGCTGTGGGAAGAAGGCACGTTGGGTGTTATAAGGAAGTGTTGTTTTATAACAAAGGTATGAGAACAAAAAAAGAGTGCTGGTACAGTTCAGTCTTTGCTAGGAAACGGAAAAGAAACAGCACATTAGCAAGAAAATTAAGTCCATGGGTGTTACTGTAAATTAGGATGTTGTTAATAATATCTGGCCTGGGTGCTTTTGTTTAATGCTTTTTTTAAAAAAAATTCTTTCATCTCTTGTTAATATCAAAGTACCAAGACTTGTATTTCATCAAATAAATGTTGTGCTGATGACCAAACATGATTCCATTCTTGTGGGAGAACTCCTCAAGATAATCACACCCAATGGCTTGATTTTTCCCAACACTTTCCTTTTATTAACACCTGGCTTTCATAGGGGTTTGGGCAAGAATGGATCTTAAGAGTATTGGACCTCACTCTTCATTTTACATAAAAAAAAAGCATAAACACAAAAGATAAAGCATGTTTAATTGTAGACTCTATTAAGAATTTCCTACATACATAGCACTCAATTCAACATTAATGTTCTAAAAATGCCATTGCCAAGCGCATTTACACATGAGAAAATTGAAACTTTGGAGAGGTCAGAGACCAAATGTGGAAAATACTTATAATTATCCTGTTTGATATAAAATAGATATTCCATGAATACTGGTTATATTTTAATGTAATGTAGGTGAGAATTGACTATCCAAATAATACCTGAATCCTGCCATGGTGGTTAGTGAGTAATATGGTGGCAGTGTCTCCAGACTTATGAATTGTCAGTATGTGATACAGCTTGTGGTATGATAGAAAGAGCAGTAGATTTGAATTAAAGTAGATCTGGAGTCAAATCCAAACACAATGTTTTGGTCTTTGACCTTAGGCCAATTATTTCTTTTAACTGGACTTCAATTTTCACATCCATAAAACCAACTACTTGACTTGCAGAGTTGTTTTAAGAATTAAAATAGATCATGAATTTTAAAAGCCCTGGCTAGTATCTTATTAATGGCAACAATCAATAGTAAGAAAAAGCATGTCACCTGTTGAACTTGTAATGGTCTTTGGGCATTTGTTTTATATCAGGATTCTAAGAGTGTCAGTTGTCATAGTGAGTTTTGATTAATTTTTGTGTGGTGTGCTACTGGGATCATTCA